ACTATAGTCCCTAAACCCCTTTACAGCATTGGGGTTTGAATAATTTTGAACACAACTGTATTTGGCCCTCGGGCCACACTTTGCCCAGGTCTTCCCTACATGTACTGGCTATTTGCCTGTATTCCTCTTTGATGTGTTCCCCGTTTTTCCATTTCAAAGGACTGGCTGTGGGGGGGCGGCGGTGGCGGCGGAAGCGGGGGGCTGGAAGGATTCGGCTATTGTGTGGCTGGTGAGGGCGAAAGGGAGAACACGAGGACACCAAAGGTGCGCACACACCCAGACCCGGGCGCACCGAGCGTGCACAAACAAGCAGGCAGGAGGAGAGGGATGGGGGTGCCAGAAAGAAAGAAAAATATTGCGAGACCACCAGGGTGAACAACCCACTCAGCTCCGGCATCGACCACCCCTCCTTCTCCCTCCTCCTTCCCCAGGAGAGCGCGGCGGCGGGGTTGCCAGCAACAAGAAACAGCATCCCGAGCAACTGCCGACTTGCGCGAGCGCTGGCCGGCGAGAGCACGGGAGGGGAAAGGCAGATTTACAAACACAGGCACACCGACACACTCACATCTGGGGGAGGAATCAAAAAGACCGGAGTACATGCAGTTCTCCAACAACACTGCCCAGGCAATAGGCTGCTGGTAAATCTGTTAAAAAGTGGCACTTACTCTTCCTCCTCTTCCTCTACCCTCTCCTTCCACAACTCTTGTGATCACCTCTGAAGTCTTTCTTTCTTTTGGAAACGGTGGGGTGGCTTTTTCTTTTTCTTTTCTGGATCTGTTGATCTGTTTTTTTAAATCTCCGCTCCCCCCCCCAATTTCGCCTTCTTTTTGGTGGGATACGTCTGGCTCTCTTGTCGGCCGCCTGCCCGTAACCCCCTCCCCTTCCCCACTTCGATTCCCAGCACACAAAAGGGAAGCCGAGCAGATTTTCTTACAAAGTTGTGTTTAAAAGGCAGAGGGGCGCACGCACGCGCGATGGATTGAGAGTCCATAGCGGGGGGAGGGCAGGAGAACATCCAAAGGAATGTAGGATCTCGGATGCAGCAGTGTGTGTGTGTGTTTTGTGTGGGTACGAGGAAGGGGGACGAAGGAAAAGTTTGCAAAAACTCTGGAATTCTCCTTCACCCCCTCCATTCCCCAAACCTCTCCAAAGGTTAAGGCGTGCACCCTCAATGAATAGCAACTAGCAATAAGACTGTTGTTCAGGCACAGCTGATTGGCGGGGGAAGCGCTTCCCCACGATCATCGCAAAGCGAATTTTCCCCATAGGTGCCATCGCAAAACGATCACTCTTGCGACGGCAAAAAGTCCATCGCAAAGCAATTTCATAATAAAACAGAGCAATCAGTATGCAAGGCACCACTGTATTTGATGACATGACTGTGAGTAGCCAGCCTTTTCTTCTTCATGAGGAAGTACAGTTCAAACTAAAGAGCAGAAAGAAATAAACAAAGCTGTGGAGGAACAATAAAGAAAACAAAAGACTAAAAAAGAAGAACAAATAGGCAGCTAAATTAGGGCAATTAAGAGACAAATTAGCTGGTACTTAATCTCCCTTTGAAATGTACCAGAGAAGCTTATTTTCTAAATAGTTTTATTATCCTATCCTTGAAAAAACGGCCAATTTGTAACTGTCACACCTTAAAAAATGAAACTTTATTGCACATACAGGCCCATAATATTAGATGTTTAAGAAGATTTGAGTTTTTAAAGAGACGGTTTAACAGAGGTATTAGGGGAGAATCTGGGTATTTATGTACAAAAAGGGAAAATCCCCCCACCCCAAAGGGGCCTTGCTGTGATGAGCCAAAAGGTGGATTACAAATCAAAATTGCCTCTGGCTGAATTTGGATAGACAATGTGGATGTGCTAAACGGGAGTTTGGGCCTGGACCGACCCATTTAACACAAAAACTGATGTTTTTACTGCTTTACGGATTGTGACTGAATTTTAAGTAAAGAAAAAATGGATTTGTTTGACGTGGTGAGTCTTGGAGAGAAGATGGAAGCAGAGGTAGTCCTCCTGGACTTAGAAAAAGCTGTTTCAAAGTACCTGAACTTTTTAAATGCTGAATTATTAAGCTATTGTGTGTTTGGTATATTTGTGATATAAATATAATTAGGCTTCTTTGTGAATTAAGAATCTTAGGGATAATTTTCTTAGTGGAATAAATTTATACCCAAGAAATAGAAATGGCAGATTCTTTTAAGAACTAGATGCAGGAGTTCCAAATGAACATTATTAATCAACTTCCAGATCAGATCAAAGCCCAAACTCTAGAAATTAAGGCGGTAATGACAGGACTCAAAGAGGACGTGGAATGGAATATTCAGAAGAAAGACCAATTCACCAAAGCAGTGGGAGTAACACAAGAAGAAAATTTAGAATCAAGACTGAAGAAAGACAAAATAATGGACTTTTATGAGAGGAAGGTCCAGGTGGATGAGCTGTGGATAGAATTTAGTGAGAAGATCGTACAAAAAAGTGTATCTTTTTGTTAGAAAAGAATTTACAGAATGACAGGGTGAAAGCAGTGATGATGAAAGGGATACAAAATTTTGGCTACAATATAGACACAGATGATTTGATTCGAATGTGGAATGAGAACTATAGACGGATTAAATCAGTAAACCTGAGAGAAAATGTTTTAAAGATGTTCTGTAGAGAGCATTTTAAAACTGACAAAAAAAGAGTGTTGGCCATTAGAAATTCATATTTAAAATGTTGGCAAAACTTCGGACTCTTTTTTGAATAGGTGGATACGTGACAAGAGTAAAATGATATTATAGATAAAAATATTACACAAGGAATTACACTAATAAATATAACCTTTACGATTTTTGAGGATGGTCATAATATAAGCCCTACCCCAAAAATAAGCCCCAGTTAAGTCAAACCCCCCCCTCCACCCTTCTGCAGCAACCAGAAGACGACATGACTGTATTTGAATAAATGTAAACCTTTGTGCAGGAAAAAAAATCAAACATTCCTTGCAAAAGAGCCCTAATGCCTTTTTTTGGAGCAAAAATTAATATAAGACCCTGTCTTATTTTCGGGGAAACACGGTAGTAAATATATGTTGTTGCACATATTTATAGCTACAGTGGGGTCTTGACTTAAGAACCGCTCTCATAGGAAAATATTGACTTGACTTACATACTTAGATTTAAGAACTGAAAAAAACCATGTGGGAGGCAGGGAAAGTGCAAAATGTGAACTTTCAGTTAACTGTTGGCCAGTGAAAAGGGTGCCTGTCTGCTTCCTCACTTCCTCCCAGCGTTTAGAGAGTGGATTGGGAGTCTTCAGACTGCCTGGTACTGCCTGGACTGTATTTTCCCTGCCTTCCCTGAACCTTTCTTGACCTAAGAAAAAAAGAAACAAAATATCCCCCTCTAGTGGTCGAAGGCAGAATAGCAGCTTCCCATTAGTTTCTATGGACAGAAAAGAGCAGATACGGATCAAATGGTTTTCAATGCATTCCTATGGGAAATGCAGATTTGACCTGAGAAACTTTTGACTTGAGAACCGCCTTCCAATACGGATTAAGTTCTCAAGTCAAGACCCCACTGTATAAGGTTGATCTGGACTCAAAATGGGATAGCTTGTCAGAGGCATAATCTGAGAATTAGAGAAGGTATGTTAAAGAAAGCTGAAAAACATTTTATGATTGGGCCTAGAAACAAATATGAGGAGAAAATATAACATTTGTTATGGATTTTAGTATTGTAGCACAGTTATGGAGTCAAGATTATACTAGTTATTGTATTACTGTAAACACTTCCCTGTGTGTATGTTTTCTATGGTGTAATTTTCCTTCCTCCACCCATGTTTATATTCCTTTGATTGTTCGTGTTTGTTATATAATGAAAAATATATCATGCTGGGGAAAAAAGTATCTGTCCTAAAAAATTCCCATCCGTCCTAAACTCTCCTCTCCATTACTGCCTCCATCCATGGAATTTCAGCCAATAATTCCCTAAATTTACAAGAATTGGCTTTCTTGAAGTCTAGAGTGCTTGTGTGATTACACTTAGCTTCCCGTTCCCACTGTGTAATACAAATTCCAAGAGAGGGTGGTCACTCCCACCACTTCATCCTCGTTAACAAGGACCTCCCTGTTGGTGAAGATGAGATCTAAACTAGCTGTCCTCCTTGTTGCCTCTTCCACTTTCTGGACCATGAGATTGTCTGCAAGGCCAGAAAGGAATTTGTTGGACCTTGTGCTCTTGGCAGAGTCTAACAGCCAACAAATATCAGGATAGATGAAATCTCCCATTACTTCTGCATCTTTCCCTGTTGAATGTGTGGCCATCTGCTCCAGGAAGGCTTAGGACTATCTGTGTATGGACCAAACCTGGGAGTGACAATTGCATCCAGGCAGGGATACAGCTGTGCAATTCATCTAAGAGGGAAGTTTCTGGTTCTCCATTAAGTGTTGTGTCCAGAAGAACGCCCAGCATGCGTTGGGAACAATGAAAATCACAGACATCAGGGGCTCCCATTTGGAGGACCCCCGTCTTGTTTGGGTTGAGCCTTAGTCTATTGTCCCTTTATCCTCCCACTGAAGGAGAAGGTGGAAACAGAAATGATGTTACCTATTAATTATCATCAGAGTCGGAAGTATAGGTTGGATGGTGCAAAGGAAAATCCCCCAGTCTCGCTTGTCTGCTAAGAGGGAACAAGAAGGGAGCCTTGAAGCGGAATTCCCACACACCCCAAATCAGGATGACCAAGGTACGCCTCTTATGAAGAGGACCTGCCTTTGGTGACCATGGGGTTTGGGGCGAGCAGGACTAAAATCTTTTTAAAAATCCAACCTAAATAAAATGCAAAGAAAATCAAACACTGCCACCCTGCACATCTTCAGAGAGGCAGTGTGCTGTAGCGGATGGGCTACCAGACTGGAAACCAGGAGACCTGGATTCAAATCCCTGCTGGGCCAGGGAAACTGAGAGTATGTGTGGCAAGGCTACTTGAGCCACCTCTTGAAATCCCACTTACCTTGCAAATGTTGGAGGGATCTGGGATTTGGTTCTTTGTTCTTGTACCAAAAACAGCAGAGAGAAATCAGCTGAGTCTCACCCCTTCCTAGGAGAAAAGAAAAAGAGAAAGATCAGCCTGGAGGCTTTACAGATGAAGAAAATTAAAAACATTTCTTTCCGGGATGTGTCTTCGTCATGTTAATATTGAATGGGGCTACATCCCCTCTTCTTCAGGCAGCAGAACAAGGGGAGCAGAAAGGCAGCTGACAAAGAAACCACAAGAAGGAAGGAAGGAAGGAAGGAAGGAAGGAAGGAAGGAAGGAAGGAAGATCTCACTCCAGGCTCCGAGATTAAAGCTCCCCATGTCTCAGTGAGGAGGGGGGCAACAGCAGGGAACCAGAGAGCAACAGGACCTGCTTCCCACAAACACCTGCGATGAAAGCAGCAGGAAACAAGAGTGTAATTTTCCCAATAATTTTTAAAAATATTTTTACCCCACCTTTCTCCTTTAAAAGGACACAAGGCAGCTTATGTAAATCTTTAAAAAACAAATTTTAAAAGTTAAAAACAGGAAGTTTACAAATTTTAAAAAGGATCAAACCAAAGCTACACTAAGAATGGTAAACAAAATCAACATCTAGAAAACACCAGAGCCTGTGTGATGTAGCGCACCGAGGTTTGGGCCAGGCCCTCTGTTGTCATGAGACCATTTGTTATTTCTGTCAATTCAACAATCCCAACGCAGGGGGCGTCTCCAAAGGTAACCCTCAGCCTCCATGCCCTCCGTGCCAAGTGCCCTGTGTCATGGGGTTGCCAACCCAAGGTGGGTAGAGTTCAGGTCTCAGGACTTTTCTCACCTGCTGTCAACCTTGCTTAGGCTTCGCTCTTCCCTTTGAGATCATTCCAAACTTCAAATGGAAAGGCGGCAACTGAGAGTGGGGGTCTTGGTGTCAGCTGCCCCTGCTGTAAAAGAAAGCATTTCAGAATCACTTGGTCTGGAACGGACCCTTCAGAGCCATTCACTCCGCAAAAGACCTGCCAGGAGAGGGAACGTCCCAGGAGAGGCCAGGTTGCCTTCCAGTCCTTCTCTCCTCTTGCCCTCCATGTGGAAATGACTGGAGCTCCTTCGGCCTCTTTCCAAAGCCCCTTTGCTCCACCCCATGGACAGCCACGAATTGGAGGCAGGAGGATGAATCCCTTGGGAAGGAGGAGTGAGAGGGCAGGTCTTTTGCACAAGCTATGGCCCTGAATTGTGATTTCAGGATCCAAAGACCAGAACAGTTTTGGCCCTGCGGGAAGAAGAACGACTTCCACCAGGAGACCCTTCCTGGGGAGATCTCCCCTTTCAGCCTCTGATAGGAAAGATCCAGTGGAGGAAAATCCACCACTTTCTCTCTCCTGCTTCTCTCCTGCCTCCCTGTCAGAGAAAGACGGTCTGTGTTCACAAGCAACAACACGGTAAGGAAGCTGGCAAGCGGGGGAAGGGGGAGTCGTCCTGGAGTAGATCCTTACTCTTAAGGAGAAGGCTCGGTTACCCCTCCTCTCTGCCACTTAATCCAGGAAAACACAAACTCACACGGAGTGTGTGCAA